CGTCGACGAAGTGAGTGGCACCGATCAACTTCGCTTGGAATCCGTCACCCACGGTTCTACACAACCGTCAGAAGCTGAGGCTCTGTTACAATCAAGTAACAGCTATCGTCGAAAATTCTGGAAGCAGCATCGTGAAACACTCAAAGAACAGATGCGTCAAAAACGATTGGAGCAGTATGAAGCGCGGATGAAAGAACTGGGATTGACGTCAGGTTGGACGCACACTGTTAATACTTGTGCTAAGGTAAGATGCTTGTTTTAAAATTTACCGTCTTCGGTCTCACGTATACCGTTCACATTTGTTTACTACCTTCAAATAAATTTCTGACAAACAAGCTTTCCCAGTAATGCAAATCGCATGCCTACCACTGTTGATTAATCTCACGATTTGTGATTTATCTGTTTTATTAGCACGTTTCGTGGCATTTTGGTCTATGATTTATATAGATTTGATTATGGAAATAGCCCCATCCTTGTGCGAGGATAGTGGTACCGAGTTGCTTCCGGGAAGAATACTCTCATCTAGAGTATTCAGACGACAGTGTATTGCTAAGTGAAGATCCGCGTTAGTTGCTAGCTTTTCTTGGTAGTTTGAGTGCTAGTGTATTTATATTTGATATGCGTTTGGCACCTTCAAAGTGTAAAATGCTGCTACAAAACTGCGTTGGTGCAACAACCAACCTCACTCTACCTGGAAAAGTCATACAGCAGGTGGATAAGTTTTGTTATTTGGGCAGGTTTATCTCACCCGATGAACGCATCACGGATGAAGTGTCAGCTCGCACACAGAGGGCTCGATTGGCATTTACCAATTTGAGACATCTGTGGCGCCGTCGCGACGTCCGGCTGTCTGTGATGTTTTATTATATTATATTTCACACCCGTCTGAGGCCAGACTATTTGCCAAACAAATCACTGTACGATAATCTCTATAAAAAGAGAAAACGTTCCACAATTTGCATATGGGCCGAATACCGCCAGGTTGCACAGGGAAAGGTAGGTGGATTTTCTCGAGGATGTCATAACCAGAGCCTTCTGCTAACCAAAGCCGGACCCTCAAGGCAGCGGGGCGGTGTTCGAAAACCGCAATCCATTTGGGACCGGAGTCCAATTCATCGGATCATTCGGCCTTCGAACGGGGCCAAATGTCCAAGGTGTCCAATACACCTTAATACCCAATTGAGCAGGTGACCATTGCCACAACCGGAAAGAGGTGGGTGTGGTTTGTACACCTCCTCATGTTTCGTTCGGAATCAGGGTTTTTTGCCAACTCCCCTATGTGAACTACCAGTGGTCCACCACCCCGGTTATAGCCTCGGACGTCAGCTTTTCGTCCTCGCTCTACCTCCCTCACGAAAAGGTAATGAGTAGGGCTTCCTGAGCAGAAGCTATTTGAGACGCTTGGTCGTATGGGAGCATTTCGCGAGGTGCAAGGAAAAGGTGAACAGCCGCAACCCTAGACCACTTAGAGGATTTCGGAGGCTGTCTGTGATGGGTCAAGTGTATGCTGCAGCAGTTCGGTTAGTTCTGCCATACGGTGCAGAGATTTGGCCATTACCGGAACCGGGTAAAAATAGACTGTCGGTGTTTGAACACCGCTGTTTAGGTTGCTTTGTATGAGTCTGGTATGGCAACCGGACAGGCAATTTTGTGGTTAGGCTCACAAAAGTGCTTGGTTGTAAATACTGAAATTGAAAGTTGAAGGTAGGGAGGTTTTGGAACCATTAAATGCAACATGACTGTCGTTGCCCCAGGAGATGTGTCGGAGATCAGAGTCCAGTGACAGTGGGTGCCATGTCGCCAGGTTGTTTCACCCAAAGTAGTAGAGTTTCATGACCGTCTTTTTCCACTGGATAACTCGGATCAGTGCGTGGAGATTACGTTTCTGTAATAGCCCCTTGTCCGATCGGTCAAACCTTACTTAAATCGTGAATAGCTCAGCCGAAGTTGGCAGCTTACCGAATAGCTCGTCAGCGTATAGTCTTTGTGACCAGAGCACTCTGAAGAAAATATGTGAACCCTTTTCGATTTAAAATCAAGTTTTTCAGCCTCCTAAAATAAGCCACATGTCTGTAGCTATAGTACCAGATATTTATTTTTCATCTCTCACTTCATTAGAATGCCCTCGCCATCGAAAGTCGAGTACAACTTGCTTGGCAGTCGATTTCGGAGCCGCAGTTTGGGGAGATCATTTTCAGGAACAAACTAATTGGGGATTTTTTTAAGTTAATGCAATATTGCATTCCATGTGATGAATACTTTGTATCTTCGCACTTTACCGTGATATAGAATCATTATGCCACTTGATTTCTCGTAATTTCTACGTAGATGAATCGTGATCTTAACTGATCTCGACGTATGTGACGATGTTTTCCATTTCTCTCTAACACTAAATCACGCACACTCTTTATTAGTCCGCCTTAGATGAGGAAGATGCCGAATGGTCAGAAGGCCAAGAAGAAGATGAGGAGGAATTAAGTACCGACGACAGTGAATCTAGCTCGTCTGAATCTACCTCCGCAGAAGCTGAAGATGAAACGGAGGATGACGATAACCTTCCAGTTGGGTCATCTCGTTCGAAGCGATCGTGCGCTTTCGCGGACGATGAAGCGGAAGAAAGTGAGGCCGGTGCGGACTCTGGGACAGACGCTGAAGAGGACTCAGATTCGGAACGAAATAAAGAGACCAGCCCTGTGATTTTGAAATCAATCAATCTAGATGCAAAAGACCAAACAGATCAACGTTCAATTAGTCGACGGGGTGGGGTCCTCGCCCATTCACGGAATGTAAGCCTCATCACTAGTATACTGTTACACACCTCTCATATGAATGAAGGTCATCAGTGTTTATATACTTCTTGTTCTTTTCTCTGATCTTCAGGATAGTCATTCCCGTTTCGATACCCTCATGACTTTAGACGATTTCACCGATCTTCCTAGTCACGTGACTGATATGGTTGAAGAAACTGGTGAGTATGAGTGATATAAAACAGACTATTTTTCTCCCAAGGCTCAGTTTATGTGGGCACATTTTTACTATCTCTACCCTTTCTGTCTTATGAAATCTGAAGGCGGGTAATGTGCGTCAGCATCGCATCCAATGCACGTGAACTCCCCTTTTGAATAATTATAATCATAAACAAATCGCGGGTCCGTGTGAATATTAAGTTCAGCCGTTCTACCATCAATCACACCAGATCTTCCTGAAGAGTTGCAGCCGTAATACCCGTATTGATGCTGGAGGGGTTCATGCACTAGCTGCGTATTCCAACAAACTTGATCTCTCGTAATTGTTCATTGCAATTCCCTATTTAGCATATTCTGATCGCTGCTACGCTTGCTATTGGTCTACTTTTTTTTGAGAGAGAGCGAGTGCTGGTAGTGACAGTAGTACAGTCAGTGATCGGTTGGTCATTATTTTCTGTTGATAGCGTTATGCTATATCTTATCCAGTTCGTTGTACTGTTTGCCAATCCAATAGGGATTTCGATTGCTTTGAGCCGCAATTCGAGACACGGTCGCATCACGCCAAACCTGTGGTGTTCTCCTCCTCGAATTACGGTTCGGTGTTTTCATTCAATGCCGACCCACTGCAACACTGAACACATCCCAAACGGTTCATGTCTTCTGTATTTACAACACTCGGCAGGCGGTCTATGTTGTGGTGTAGCTAGTGGTGTAGTCACGTATGGACCCAGATGAGATCACTCGAATCCTCACGTTTTCATTTTCTTTTCGTTTGTTTCTTACATCTGACATTAGTGGTAATTCTCTGTTTTATCCACATGCTTATTTACAGCCAATGTTGGAAACTACACCATGGACACAACTCGTCGACCACAGGGTAGTCTGGGGCCCGGCGATGTGGATCTTTTCATATCCGAATATTCTACCATCCTTGATCGTGAGTTCGTTATGCTAATTTTTGCTTTTCGTCTCAGCGACCATAAGTTTTATACTATCATTTTTTTAGAACGACAAATAGACATCTTATGTAACTGAAATGCAACAAAGATAGGTGTATGTGGCGCGTTACACTTGTCGTTCAAGAATATACCTTCATTCTTTGTATATAAAATCCCAACTGCAAGCTTTCATAACATGGCCTGAAAGCAGTCTTTCACTCTCTCAGTTACTTTCGATGTGATACAGTTCGCTTGATAAACGGTTAATTGGTGTACGACTATTGTCACCTTGAATTTGTTTGCAAGCCCTTCGTTTTATGTCATTAGATGCACTTTATAGTAACATGACGTTTACTCCTCTGTCACTACTTTAATTCTAGGTACCACAAATGCTGCTTCAATTTTGGCTTCCACTCGTTTGGATAGCACTATGGTAAATGTGAGTTCCGTTAACGATATGTATATGTTTGTGTATCTACATATTCGCATTCAACTCACAGTTACTTGCGGGTAGTGGTGTAGGATAAGTTATATTGTATCAGTTTCTACATATGTTTTTTTAGATGACACAGCAAAAAGGACGAATCCCGTAATCAAAGACGCCGTAAAAGTGAATTAATGCGGTGAAACATTTAATTAAGAAATGATTTGTTGGTTGTGTTTTTGATGGTCGAAAAGTTGTAAGCATTCAAATATATGGAAGGGGAAGAAGTGCTACACAGTCTTGAAAAAAGGTTTGCAAGATGGAAGTTCGGCATATGGGAACAGATAATGGTCGCTGGCAGTCTGTGAGCGAGATGATCATAGAAAGGACGCAGGGCGAGGAAATGACGAAGTTCCGAAGAACAAACTCCGAAACAATACTGATAGACAAGAGCTAATGAAACAGCTATCCGGCGATAGGAAAGCTACTATAGGTTGGAGGTTAAAGCTGATTCGTTGATCAACCGAATAGCCTCACGTTGAACTCGATCAAGAGGAGAAAGAACAGGATACGAAGCTTTCCCCTACAAATGACTGCAGTATTCCACCAGGGAGCAAATGTGAGTTATCCGTATGCCTCAGTTTCAGTTGTTACAACCATTAACCATGCACATTCGTGCGCCGGTTTAGGCTGCTGTCTGTTGGCCGCCCATTTTGGATAAAGGAGGAAGATTAAGATTGGAATGTTGAGAGGAAATTCAAGCGGAAGATGGAGAATTCATATAGAGTATTGTTAGGAGAATAATGAGTGGATGCACGCTCTCCAGTATTTGCGACACCCAGGCCTATCACCCAGTGTCTCTAAGTATCGGTGACCTTGATCTCAAGGTCACCAGCCAGGCAGCCTAAC